ATGGGAATCTTTCGCAAGCTGGGGTTGGGCAGGCGGATTCTCTCTTGTGTAATAAGCAAAAAGCAGCAGGCGCGGTGATTTTGATATCCCTCTCTTGAGCGGTGCAGAACCACAGCTGTCGTTTCTCAGGAAGACAGACGCATCTTAAAGTTTGGGGAAGAAGCGGTGAGTAACCGAATCGATTGGTAGCTTCTGTAAAAGTCACTCTTGTGCCTTGAGCACCTTCTTTGCGTCTAATCCAGGGTCTGGAAATGTGAAAGAGACGAAAAGAAGATGCAACGGGGTCCTCGTTTGTGAGGAGTTTTCCTTTCGAATTGGTGGCGGATGATAAGCAAAGTTACCTGCGATTAATTACCCAAACTGCGTCGGAAGGAAAAGATGTCAGATGTCAGGAGAAAGAGATTCCTGTAGGCTACCAGGGACCCCCGCCGTCACTTGTTGAATAGCATTGTGAATGGGAGTTTCAGATTGTTATGTGTGTGTATCCAAAAAATGCGCTGTTGTTCCAAAGAGGGATAAACCGTGAGTGAACACAGACTTTAGGGAGACTGTAGGAGTCTTGACTGGAGCAGAGGGTAGCATTTGGCAGATGATGGAGACTAATGTGGATGAGTAAGGCCAGGAGAATTTTGGAAAATTTAGGAATCTAGGAGTTAAGGAAACATATTGGTCTATATGTTGTGTGTGTGTGTGTGTGTGTGTGTGTGTGTGTGTGTGTGTGTGTTTATAACAATCCTTGGTAGCTCTTTGCTGGATGCTGCCTTTGAGAGTTTCTACCTACTTTCTGATAACTAAGAACGAGGAAGAGATAGAGCTTGGTCATTACCCAACACGTTGTGACACGTCACTCTCATTACTTCCTGTTTCCATCTGAGAGGGGGGGCCGCTGGAAGGAACTATTCCCCAGTGAATGGGGACTAGGGGGAGTCAAGGCTATGAGATCTACGTTTTCTATAGTAAACCAGACATTTACTTAGTGGGCAACACAGTTGAGTCCCCTGGCTCTCACACGAAGGAAGTGAACTTCATTGGGTCGAGGAATCCATCAGGAACTCACTGCTATGTTTACATCCTCTGCAGCTTCTCCTAACCCACTTCATTAGCCAAGCCGTGTTCGGAATTCATTGTCTAGTCCAAAAGCTCAATAGTAAATTCATTTCAACATAACTTGTCCAGGTTTCTGTGCCAAGACTACAGAAGAACACTCTTTGGGTGAGTCCCTTCAAATAAGCCGCTTGGAAAAGATGTGGCTAGAGGTGTGGACTCCATCGCTGACGGCCTGTGATGTAGGGAGAAGCCTCCGGGCCAGCTGCAGTCACAGGATGTGTTGCAGGTTCAAGAAAGAGCAGGAAGGGGCGCCTGGATGGCTCAGTCGGTTGTGTCCAACTTCGGCTCAGGTCATGATCTCACGGTACGTGAGTTCAAGCCCCGCGTCAGGCTCTGTGCTGATGGCTCAGAGCCTGGAGCCTGTTTCCGATTCTGTGTCTCCCTCTCTCTCTGACCCTCCCCCGTTCATGATCTGTCTCTTTCTGTCTCAAAAAAAAATAAAACTTTAATTTTTTTTTTTTTTTTTTTAAAGAAAGAGCAGGAAGTACCCACAGTTGGCAATGACCTTTGTGGGATCTGGCAGATGGGTTAGCGACCATCCTCACGTGCTCGTTAGAGCTGCAGGGATGGGGAACATCTTGGTTCCTTGGATCGTCAGGTGAATGGCAAGAACAGAATCTCTAAAGGTGATTCTTTTTTCCTAGAACCACGCAGATGGCTTACCAAGAGAGCGAGGGCAAGAAACAAACCTGCTGAAACAAACAAACAGACAAAAGCAGGTTTATTGAACTCTGATTTATATACTGTAAAATCCGTCCCTTTCAAGCTGGATGACTTTTAGTAAATTTACAGAGTTGTGTACCCACCACCAAAATCTAGTTTGGGGATGTTTCCACCTGCCTGAAAAGCTCCCTTGGTGCCTGGTTTGTGCTCAGTTGCTATTCCATCCTCTCCCCAGCCCAGGCAACAAGTGATTACTGGTTGCTGCATGATTTCCAGTAGATTTGCCTATTCTAGGCATCGCAAATAAATAGAGGTCTAAAATACGGGATTTTTGGGTATGGGACTTTCATGTAGCATGGGTTTTTTTTTTTTAATTTTTTTTAACATTTATTTATTTTTGAGACAGAGAGAGACACAGCATGAACGGGGGAGGGGCAGAGAGAGAGGGAGACACAGAATCAGAAACAGGCTCCAGGCTCTGAGCCATCAGCCCAGAGCCCGACGCGGGGCTCGAACTCGCGGACCGCGAGATCGTGACCTGAGCTGAAGTCGGACGCTTAACCGACTGAGCCACCCAGGTGCCCCTAGCATGGTTTTTAAATGTTTTTAAGTTTACTTATTTTTGAGAGCAGGTGCACACACGTCGGGGAGCGGGTAGAGAGAAGGAGACAGAATCCCAAGTGGGTGTTGCACCATCAGCACAGAGCCTGATGCGGGGCTCGAACTCATGAGCTGTGAGATCATGCCCTCAGCCAAGATTAACAGTCAGACGCTTAACCGACTGTGCCACCCTGGCACCCCTAGCATAATTTAAAAAAAAAAAAAATTTTTTTTTTTAATGTTTATTTCTGAGAGAGAGTGTGAGCAGGGGAGGGGCAGAGAGAGAGGGAGACACAGAAATGGAAGCAGGCTCCAGGATGTGAGCTACCAGCACAGACCCTGACGCAGGGCTCGAACTCATGAGCCGTGAGATCATGACCTGAGCCGAAGTCAGCCAGTTAACGGACGGAGCCACCCAGGCACCCCCTCCCTTGGCATAAATTTTTTGAAGTTCACCTGTGTTGTAGCCTGTGTTCTTATTTCATCCCTTTTTACTGCTGAGTAGTGTTCCATCGTATAGATCGATCCTATTTTACGTATCTATTTGTTCATCAGTGGATGGGTAATTTCCACTTTTGGGCTGTTGTAAATACTGCTACTTTGGTTTCCTGTGACCCGTTGTGACCAATTACTACGAACTCAGTGGCTTAAAACAACAGAAGTTTATGTTCACAGCTCTGAAAGACCAGAAGTGTAAGGTGAAGGTGTTGATAGCCAGTGCTCCTTCTAGAGGCTCTCGAGGAGATTCCATTTCTTGCCACCTCCTCTGGTGGTTGTGTCTGTCCCTGACTGGAGGTCACAGCGGTTCAGTCTTTGCCACCGCCTTCACATTTCCTTCTCTCCCGTGCATCTCCCAAAACTCCCTCTGGCCCTCTCTTACCAGGACACATGTGATTGCCTTTAGGACCCACGCTGATGATCCAGAAAACGCTCTTCCTCTCAAGATCCTTAACTTACCCCAATTCTTTTTTTTAATGTTTATTTATTTTTGAGAGAGAGAGAGAGAGCTCGAGCAAGCAGGGGAGAAGCAGAGAGAGAGAGAGGGAGAATCCAAAGCAGGCTCCAGGCTCTAGGCTCCGAGCTGTCCGCACAGAGCCGGACGCGGGACTCAAACCCATGAACTGCCAGATCACAACCTAAGCCAAAGTCAGACGCTTACCCACCTGAGCCACTCAGGCGCGCCTAAATGTTTTGCTGCATAAGGTAGCATTCACAGTTTTCAGAAATCTGATGTGACTATCTTTTGGGAGGCTATTTTTCTGCCTACCATAGCAGCTGGGAATAGTCACAGAAAGTTGCCGCGTAGATGTGTTTTCATTTCTCTTCAGAGTGAGCGGGGAATGTAATTGCTGGGAATGTACTGGAAATTTATGTGTGGCTTAAGAAACTGTCAAACTGTTTTCCGAAGAGGCTGTGTCGTCTTCCATTCCTGCCGGCCATGAGTGAGGGTTCCAGTTTCTCCACATTCTTGCCAGTTGTCTACCTTTTTAAAACTCTAGCCGGGGCGTCTGGGTAGCTCCGTCAGTTCAGTGTCCTGCTCTTGATGTCAGCTCAGCTCATGGTCTCACAGTTTGTGAGTTCGAGCCCCGTGTCAGACTCTGTGCTGACAGCTCGGAGCATACTGGGGATTCTGTCTCTCCCTCTCTCTGCCCCTCCCCGGCTCGCTTTCTCTCTGTCTCTCTCTCTCAAATAAATAAACCTAACAAACAAACAAAAACCCATAGCCATTCTAGTGGGTGTGAAATGGTATCTTGTGGTGAATTTGCATTTCCTTGATGACTAATGATGATGAGCACCCTTTCATGTGTTTCTTAGCCAGCATATATGATTCTTGGTAAAATGTCTCTTCGGAGCCCTTACCCATCTTAAGACGGGGTTGTCGTCTTTTTGAATCATCAGACTTAGCCTGTTTTCCATAATCTGGCCCAGTCACTGCCAGTCCTGAGGATGTGGTGATTGAGGTCACCTTGATGCGGAGGTGCTGGGCAATCCATTTCCCCAGGACGCCCAGACCTGGGAAAAGATGGCCGTCTCCACATTGCACTGTGCGTTAGTCTGCTCCTACAGGGTAGATGGGACTCAAAGTGGCCTTTTGACTCCCAATTACTGTGCCAGCGAAGCCGGGAGATGGCTCATTCTGTGTCTTAGAGATCTTGAGCTCAGTGGTGATGGGGGCTGGCTGTTGTCTGATGGACAAGGGACCCACCTACAGAAACCCACCCTGCATTCTCATTGTAGCCTGGTGTTTTCTTTCATAACTCTTCCCACAATTGAAATTAAGTAGTTGTTTCTGTAATACAATACATTTAATATCTTCCTCCCTCTACTGGACTATTAAAAACCCCTGGGGCAGGGACCCCACCCGTGGGTTTTGTCTCTGTCCCCCGCCTCGAACACAACGTGTCGTAGACAGCCAACCAATTTTTGCCGGATGGAAGAACGAGTGTAAATTACCAGTAACGGGGGTTTAGGAGGATGTCCTCTGCTTTACAGTGGGTGATTCACACAAAATCATTAAATAGAGGGCTGTTCGTTCCATAAGTAATTCATTAACCACTGACTGTGCTGTGTAGTGACTTGTATTTTAACCGCCACTGATGCCATTTCCCCCGTGTCTTTCTCATTTCCAGCGATCTATAACTACAATGCCTCTCAAGATGTGGAGCTCTCCTTGGAGATCGGAGACACGGTTCACATCCTGGAGATGTATGAGGGTAAGTCTGGATGGCCTCCTGCCAGACGGGGAAAGGGAAGCACAGTGGAAGTTACTTATTAATAAGGCACTTCGAGCAAACATCAGCGTGCCTTACTTCCTGAAATGGTGCTAGTAAAAAAAAAACCCAGGAAGTACTTAGGCTATACAACTTTGTGCTGAGAGTGATTTCCAACACAGCCAGCCAAATACATGAGTGCCACCGTGCTCAGACCCCAGAACGTCAGAGCATATGAATAGCTGAACCCCAAGCCGCGGATGCAGAAGGATCCGACACAGTGCTGGCCCGGGAGGAGCCACGTGGGACCCTGGATTGGCTGCCGCGCAAAGGAAACACTGCCGATTAAGTGGCTCTTTCTACTCGGCACTAAATGTTGCCAGATTGGGGGAGAAATGAGGGAGAGACTTACTGGTGCTGCTGAGATTCTTTCACAGAACTAGGTCAGGGCTACAGCAGGTCCAGAAAGCCCCGTAGTATATTTCCTGCAATTAGGTCAGGCTAGGGAGGTGGTCCAGTTAACCTGTCAGTGGGCCGTAGGGAAGTACTCAGCATGCCTGGTTTGTCTGAAAAGCATAGGTCGTGCCCACTCCCCCCCGCATCCCACCCCACCCGAGGCTTGTAGCTCCATGTCAGTGGAGCTTGAATCCCGGCAGGACCCCTCCATGTATCCACATTTCAAATTCAAATCCCAGAGTACCACCAACATGCGTCCAGGCCACCGAAGTTGAGGATCAAAGCAAAGACCAATTTTCGGGGCCCGTTTATTCCCTCTGAAGAGTAAGGCAGGAAGAAGGCGGGCAGCAAGGAAGACTTTTCTCAGAGGGTGAAGCTTCTTAGAATCAGGATCTCTAGATTTTCAGGATCCACACTTGCCCTCATCCACGTAAATGCTCGCGATGGCGGAATAGCAAAGGTGGCCATTAGGAATCTAATGCACTTGCCTAGAATGGGGGGGGGGGGGGAGAAAAGCTGGGAAGCCAGGGGAAAAGGAAGCAGGGTTTGGCCATAGAAAAGCTAAGTCATTCTGCCTGATTGCATAGAAGACTCTATTCCTGCTGCCTCCCTTTATGTTTAGGCAGGGGGCCAGGGTTTCCTCTCCCTTCCACACAACTCAAAGCACAGCCATGCAGCTCCCAGGGGCAGGGAGAAGGGGGAGAGGGCCGTGCGGACTCTCCCCACACACCCCTCTCTTTGCTCTTTCCATCCTCGCCATCTCAGGTCCAGCCCAACATCGGTTCCATGTTGTCCCTAAATCACCAAGACACAAGGGACAATCTACTTACTGTCTGATCTCAAGACTGCTTTGCTTGTTGAAACCACAGTCCCCTCAGGCCTTACTAGGTCATACTTCTTTGTCAGGGGCCAGATTTATCCATTCTAGCTAGTGTCTGTGTTAACACGTTTTTGCATTGGACAGGCAGAAGGCATGTGTTTGGCTTTGGAAACTCTTCCGTATAGGCTTGAAAAGAATGTATGTTAGGACCATCTGTGGATGACGGTTAGATTCTTATTTCTTTATCATTTTTTTTTTTCAAATTTGCTGTACATCATTGTTTTCCTCCATTTTCCATCAGAGAACAGTGTTCAGTCGTTCACCATGCTTACAGTTTATGTCAATGATGATGATTTACGGTGATGTCAGTTTTTTGCCTTATATATTTTCAGACCTATTTTTAGGTACGTACAATTTTAGAGTTGTTATACTGAAACAATTTGCACTTTAAAAATTTTTTTAGAGAGAGAGAGTGCAAGCAGGGGAGAGGGGCCGAGAACAGGGGGTGGAGGGGAATGAGAGAGAGAGAGAGAGAGAAAGAGAATGAATCTTAAACAGGCTCTACCCTCAGTGTGGAGGCTGATGCAGGGCTCAATCCCACGACCCTGGGATCATGACCCGAGCTGAAATCAAGAGTTGGACGCTCAACTGACTGAGCTACCCAGGCGCCTCTAAACAGTTTGAACTTTTAATTCCTGTTTATTAAATCTTTTTACCGTTAGTTTTGTCTGTAGGATTGCTTTTTTCCTTAGTCTAGTTTGTCCGAAATTACAGCCAACTCATTGGCGGTCTAGGACTCCCCATTTTTGTTCTCCTGGACCCACCAGGCCATCAGAAACGCTGCTCGGCCATTCAGGAAACTTTTCTTAATTCGGCAGTTGCCCCAAGAAGAGAGGAGCCTCACACTCTGGCCTCGTCTCTCTAAGGTTTGATCTCTTTCGGATCTCGACCTGGTAATTCCCGTTTGACCGTAGTAGAGTTGCAGTATGTGTGCATGTGGTGGGTTTTGTCAAGTTTTTCCAAGTGTCCTGTGGAGTGTAGGAGGGAAGAGCGGAGAGTTGATTGGAAATAAAGTAGGTGATGTCTTTTGAATACATTTGCAACGCTCTCTCTTCATCGTTGCGTGACCCGAACATAGTTTTTTGGACTCGCTCATTGAAGCACCCTGTCCTCCTAGGATTCATATAATGGTCCTTTTAAGTTTGTGCTCTGTCTTTACCGAGTGGTTTCCCAGTTGACCCATGGACATTCCTCAAGGTAGTACTCCTCTGGAGCCAGCCGAGGAGGTCACTGAGCTTGGTTGGATTGAAACGTAATCCAGATCCACGAGCACCTCCATTTCAAGCACCTTCTGGAGCTTGAGGCCAAAAGCCACAGTGCTCCTGGTGTTTTGGAGCTCGCTGGCGCTGGCCCAGCTGATAGGCAGTCACACAAATACCTGTCACTTCATCGATGCTGCGTCTTGAGTATGATGGTCCCGGTGCTCCAGTCCTGACCGCAGGAAGCTGATGTTCTTGTTAACTGCTACCATAAAATATTTGGGGTGCCGCAGGACTCTTTCACGTCAAAAAAGGATGTCCGTGCCCATTTGAAACCTGGTGTGTGTCAAGGTATGAATGGGCAGACTTAGAACATGAGCTTACGGAGTTCCTTTACCACCACCAAGAGGCCTGTCGGTTTTACGGAGATTATCGTATTGGATTATGTCTTTATATAGTGCTCATTTTAGGGGATTGATTTTTTTTTTTAATTTTTAAAAAATGTTTTATCTATTTTTGAGACAGCGACAGAGCATGAGCAGGGGAGGGGCAGAGAGAGAGGGAGACACAGAATCCAAAGCAGGCTCCAGGCTCGGAGCTGTCGGCACAGAGCCCGAGGCGGGGCTCGAACTCACCAACCGCGAGATCGTGACCTGAGCCGAAGTCAGACGCTTGCTTAACCGACTGAGGCACCCAGGGGCCCCTGGGATTATTATTATTATTTTTTTTAATAGTGCCCACCTTGCCAGATGCAGTGATAGGTTCTTATGTCTCCTAAGTACTTCGAGTTCTTGGCTGGGTTCTCAAATTCCTTTATTATTTCAAGCAGTTCAGGACTAAGTGAGTGCAGGAGTACTTTGCAAACATTAAACAGGGTGGAAATGCTGAGTAATAACTTAAGTTCTCTCCCTCCTCCCCCATCTTCTCTTTCCTTTAAAAGAAAAAAAATAAATAAACAAGATGGAAACGCCCAGAGTACTGCCAGATGGAATTTAAGGCTAATGCTGGCACTATTTCATGGCCTGAGGGGTTTTGTGTCTTCCAGCTTCCTGTCTGATTTGGCTCCTGGGGCTCCCCCTCCTCCTGCACACTCCGCCCCACCCTGCCTTTGAGATATTCGCACACCAGACCTGTGTGTGCTTTTTCCGGTATGGACATGAGTCTACCTTTCTGGAGCCCAGCTACGGAAAATTCTTTTCTGCCCACAACCCATCACCGAAAACCACTCACGGCTCTTCCTTTTGCTGTTTCCTGGCCTGTGGTCGCATGAATAATTATGAAAGTGGTAGCTTCTTGAAGGCAAAGCCAGCTCGTCTTGCGTCTGTAGGGCCGGCGCCTTGCACAGCACCTGGCACATAGTAGGTGTTCTGCAGAAGTCCGTTAAAGGAATGAAGACAAAAGACAGGACCAAAGCAAGCCTGACGGAGCAAGGCAAGCTAGCGTGGAGAGTAAGAGAGGGTGGCAGTCACCTCCACAAAACCCCAGGTATCATAGGCAGAGTTGTTCTCCTTTTATGAGGGAAATATGGGAGGCTCCAACATTGCCCCCATCCGCAGCAGACTGCAGAAGGATTTGGTTATTGCATGAGTTTTGTTGTCTTTGTTTTTAATAACCGCTGCGTTGAGATCTATTTCAAATACCATACCGTTTACCCATTTAAAGGATACAATCCTTAAAAGGGCAATCCTTGTGCTTTAAAGGGCAATCGTCATCACTGTCTACTTGCAGAACGTTTTCATGAACCCAGAGAGAATCCCTGTACCCGTTTGGTGGCCATTATCCCCCAGCTCCAAGCAACCACCAACCTCGTGTCTGTCTCAGGAGATTTGCCCCGTCTAGACCGTTCATATAACATGGGGCCCTTTGTGACTAGCTGAGTGCAATGGTTTTAAGGCTCGTCGTTGTTGCAGCGGGTATCGGTACTTCCTATCTTTTTATGGCTCAATAATATTCATTGTATGCCTACATCGCATTTCATCTATCCATTCATCCGTTGATGGACATTTAAGTTGTTTACACTTTTCACCTGTTATGAGTAATGTTGCTATAACCCTTTATGTGTAGGTTTCCATGTGGACGTATGTTTTCAGTTCTCTTGTTCCTAGGTATGTTCCTAGGAGTGGAATTGCTGGGTCATATAATAACTCTTCCTTTTGGGGAAGTGCCAGTCTGATTACTTGAGTTTTGCCCCCAGATCACAGCCCAAATGAGTGCCCTGCTATCGCTTATCACTCCCTGCTTTCTGTCACCTTGCTCCTGAACTTCATTTGCTACTAAAAATGGGCGCAGGGACGGAGAACCCGCCGTGTGTGCTGCTCGTGTTGTAGCGGCCCCCGAGAATTATGTTCCTTCAGAGACTTTTTCAGGGAACGAGATCCCTCAAGGACTGAAGCCAGTGGCCTCGCCTCTCTTCATCTTTGGTATCAGTCCGGCCTGTAGTCATTGCCATATCTTCGCTTCTTTAACCA